TTGCTCGTTCAGCAAGTGTTCCTCATCGGACCGTTCTCCAATCCTAACCGAAGAACAAATCAGAACATTTGAAGATTCCCACTTTGTCCTCTTGATCTCTCGAGTGGTTCAAGCTGTAATTCTCCAGTGAAGCAACTTGAAGCATTTTGAAAGTTGTACATGGTTCAATATGTTATTTCTACATATGCGTCTTCTGATACCTAGTGGAGTAAACCGGGGCATTCAAGATGTCCGTATTCTTTTCCCGATCCCCTAGTGGTCTGAAAGGTGTGAATCCCCAATGCAACGACAACATTATCCCTAGTGTAGTGCATACTTGTGGTAGTCAGAGAGGTTCTCGTGATGTTCAGTGCTTATTCTACAGCTCGTCTCGATCACCGTCCCCAGGAAGTCCAAGATGTAGAGAGGTAGGATCCAATCACTTCTCCTACAATGAAGCTACAGTGTGGAATTTGTTTCTTCAGCAATCCAATCCCCATTGGAGTTACCAAGAACCTTTGGTACCTCAGGTTCTCCAGCGCCAAACCATGTTGATATCTCCAATGATGGGCATGGTTCCTTTTGAACCTATTCTTATCCCCCGTGGAGTTTATTTCTCTACACATTGCATCCTTAAATCGTGTAGCTCATCCATTAGCATGGATCTTTGTGCCATACAAAATTCAAACATGCATATGAAGCATAATCCAGATTGGGTACCTTGCTCGAAAGACCTGAATCATTCAAAGACAGCAATACATTCCCCCAATGAATGTCATTCCAAAATCCCTAGTTGACGTCCTCAGTCACTTTCATAACACTCGGCTAACGGCGCCAGTACCCTGTACTCTCAGACATTCATCCGTGTTAGTCTCCCAGGCACTCGTTTGTGTCAATTTTACTAAACATCTTACTTGTTACGGTGTTTTATCCATACTTTATGTGTGGAAATTCTCATAATTTCCACTCTTGAAGAATTTCACCTTGCTTCTGGCCCGGGGGATAACAAAGTTCTTATATATTGCAAACATCAAAAGCCCAATTAAGGTTGGCAATCCTAATCTAGAGTACTTATCAGTTGGTCTCTTTTCCATTCGTAGGCCCGCCTTCAATCGGCGTTCCTTGCTGACTCAAAATCAATTCAAATTTCAGTTCTTGTCTGGTAGTCAGTTCTCGTCTGAAAATTGATTTAAATTCCAGTTCTTGTCTGGTAGTCAGTTCCTGTCTAAAAATTGATTCAAATTCCAGTTCTTGTTTGGTAGTCAGTTCCCGTCTGACAATTGATTCAAATTCCAGTTCTTGTCTGGTAGTCAGTTCCCGTCTGACAATTGATTCAAATTCCAGTTCTTGTTTGGTAGTCAGTTCCTGTCTGACAATCAATTCAAAACCCAACTCTTGTCTGGTAGTCAGTCCATGTCTGACAATCAATTCAGAACCTAGATCTTGTCTGGTATTGAGTTTCTGTCTGACAGTCAATTCAAAGGCTAGTTCTCATCTGGTAGTCAGTGCTCATTTGTCGTATCCCTCATTTCCTCTTTTCAATTAGGTATTTGTTTATCATATGAAGCTATCAGAGATCCTACCCTATCTTGCCATCTTGTTTCAGGATGTCCTGATACCCCCTCTTGATGTCCTTCCATAGGCCGTGGATTGTCCTGATATCCCACCATCTTGTCATCTTGTTTCGGGTCGCGGGTTGTCCTGATATCTCCCCTCTTGTGTCCTTTCTCAGGTCGTGGATTGTCTTGGTGTCCTACCCTGTCATCCTTTCGAGTTATGGATTTTCCCGATATCCTATCCTCTTACCTCTTTCACCATAGCAATTGTTCCTCTCTGAGAACTTTGTATTAGTACCATTCCCCGATATAAATTATCACAATTCGGCCACACTTTCGTATCACAAACTTTTTCCCTAGTAAACGTCCCACATAATTAAAATAAGACTCATTCACACCATCTTTTCAGAACAAATTTTCGGTATTGGTATTTAATCATCTTCTACCTCGAACGTTCGAAAGGCCTGCGCCAATCGCACTTTCAAGTTTAAGACGATTAAATAGGGGAAATTGTCATACCCCAAATTTGTCCTATCTCTTTTCTTGGGCTCATATAGCTTATGCATATTCATTAGTATGTTATTTGGAATTGCATGTATCAATGATCATGGGATCAAAGTACTCATTTCCAAAGATTATTGCAAAGAAATCAGATGTTTTGACGGACGTGTGATATTGTGAACAAGAAATGGCGTTTCGCTGGTTTAAGCTCATAAATTTGAAACTTGCAACCAAAGTACTATTTTGCATTAATTATTCAAGCATCAAAGTCGTATTGGTATTTTCTTCATTTCACGTGTTCAAGCCGGAAGCCAATTGTACGCAGTAGATCTCTAAACAATCTGGTTTCCCTGAAGCGGTATTGAATTCTGATTGGTTATTTGTTTCTGCGACATTTGGAAATTCATAATCTGCACCTGATTCGATATATTCAGTTGATTCTCCGAGCATTGAGAACAACTCGATTTTCTTATCACTTCTCATAATCAGATCAAGGGCTAATTCGATGAAGAAAAACCTCCAAGAATATTAATCTTTTAAACACAGTATATTGATTCAACTCGTCTTGCGGATATTCAAAAATTTGTAACTCCGATCTGGTTCGTCGTCTTGGGTTGGTTCTTACATCAACAAAATCTTCTTGATGTCTACTTCATTTCTTATGTTCGGGCCGGGAGCAAATTCTCCAAGGAAAGCTTTCGAACGTGTGGATCTCCTGAAGGTGTTCAGTGAGAAAACAGTGGAAAAAGTGTGCTGAAGGTGAAGTTTTTTGACACTAAAAATTTCATAACTCACTCCTCGTTCGTTGTTTAGGACCCGTTCTTTTTTCCAAAATTTTATCTCGACGTCATCTACATTTCATCTTTTATGAGCAAAGATTGATTCTCTAAGGAAAAGGCCGAGAATTTTGAGTTATTGAAGAAATTTTGGTGCTGAATCGAATCTCCATTATACTGTTCTACGATATTATAAAAACCGTAACTCGATCTATTTTTATCGTACCACGCTGGGTCCGAAAGATTTGGTTCATAATTTTTTTCTTCTATGTTTTGGTTTCAGGTTCCAAACGTAAACGGTACTCCGAAGGCTTTCTTTTGTTGTCTGTGTCGCACGTGACGCATCGAAAATACTGAACTAGAAAATATTTTCATCTGAAACAAAACTTTAAAAAATCATAACTAAATTACCGTCCGTCCGAATGAGCCTGTTCTTTTGGCAACCCGTCACAAATTTTGTTATCTATGTTTTCCGTTTTGTGATTGAATCGAGATTCCATACAAATAGTGACGTGGCACTTTGTGGGCATGTTAGGATTATTTTATCAAGTCAAGGCCCAAGGCCCTATCCAATGGCACATCCAAGGCCAAAGTTGCTCACACTATATAAATTCAAAAAGAAAAAAGATAAGAAGAGATTCATAATTCAAAATTACACAAAAAACACTAAAAAACCCTCTCTCTATTTGCTCCAAGATCAAACTCAAGATTCTCTCAACTTTCATCAAGAACACAACAACAACTTAAAAAACTTTTCAAGAATCAAAGGAAATTCTTCTTCGATCTTTGATCCTATCGTTGTGATCTCTATACCTAAGCCTCCTCTTCATTTCTATCAGTGATAATTTTCGATTTAAGCATTTTTCAAATAAGTGATTCTTGAATAAGCACTTGTGGAAATCCTTGAATCAAGTTTTGATTGAAGAATTGAATTGTGAAATTGATTTCAAGTGTGAAGATATGAATTGATTTGGAATCATGTTGTGCGAAACCGGAATTAGATAGTTGAAATAAGTGCTTATTGAATTAAGCGATTCTCAACTTTAACTCACACATGACATTATTAGTGAAGCTTTATATATATATATATATATATATATATATATATATATATATATATATATATATATATATATATATATATATATATATATATATATATAACTGTTACTTATATACTAAGTAATTAACATCATAAATTCTAACCCTATCTAGTTTGGACTTGAGCTACAACTTGGATTATATCACCACACTAAACTGCTATCTTGAGAAAACTCACACATGACATTATTAGTGAAGCTTATATATATATATATATATATATATATATATATATATATATATATATATATATATATATATATATATATATATATATATATATATATATATATATATATATATATATATATATATAACTGTTACTTATATACTAAGTAATTAACATCATAAATTCTAACCCTATCTAGTTTGGACTTGAGCTACAACTTGGATTATATCACCACACTAAACTGCTATCTTGAGAAGAACTTCTCATTTCCTGCGAAATGATACCACATAACATAGATTTTCTGAACCAACATAGCTATATAGTTCTAAGCTGCGTGCATATGTGATGTATGTTTCGAAAAACACTTTAGCAACCGACAGGCATTATAGTTTTATTGAGAATGCAAAATTTTGCCAGGCATCTAATCTCAAAATAAAAATCTCAAAAACAAGCATTAAGTAGCTAATCTCAAAAACAAGCACTAATTAGCTAATGTCAAAAGGAAAAATCTCTAAAACAAGCATTAAGTAGCTAATCTCAAAAACAAGCACTAATTAGCTAATGTCAAAAGGAAAAATCTCTAAAACAAGCATTAAGTAGCTAATCTCAAAAACAAGCACTAATTAGCTAATGTCAAAAGGAAAAATCTCTAAAACAAGCATTAAGTAGCTAATCTCAAAAACAAGCACTAATTAGCTAATGTCAAAAGGAAAAATCTCTAAAACAAGCATTAAGTAGCTAATCTCAAAAACAAGCACTAATTAGCTAATGTCAAAAGGAAAAATCTCAAAAACAAGCATTAAGTAGCTAATCTAAAAAAGAAACACTAATTAGCTAATGTCAAAAGGAAAAATCTCAAAAACAAGCATTAAATAGCTAATCTCAAAATAAAAATAGGATATAACTAATCCAAGATGATCAAATGATTCTTCTCTTCTCTTGTTTTATCAGTGACACTCCAGAAGTCCTTGAGCGATTTGGTGGAAAAGTTGTTTGGTGAAGTGTTACCAAAGATTGCACGATGGATAGATTTGCAGCCTTAGTCGAAGATGACTCAAGATTTGTAACATTATTGTCACCTCTCTCCAGCACCTGTGCTACTGCAATTAAAGTAGGAAACATGGAAGGTTCTGTTTCCAACCGTTCCAAATTAGAAACCATAAACATGTAGAACTGAGGGTAAGAATGAGAAGAGACTTTTGCAATGGCTTGACTTAAACTTTCCACCTCTCTTAAAACTCTAGGGTCGCCCAATACAGGAGATTGAGGTGCAATTAAAAGGTCATTCATGAGAACCAAATGATGCATATCTAACCAAGCTAACTCATTTCCCAAATACTGACATACAAGACCTATTCCTGAGTTTTGGCAGTTCATGTGCTTCAAAAGAAAACAAATTGAGTCGTTGCAAAGCATTGAACAAGGACCGATCATAGTTTTGATTGCGTTAGCTTCTTTAAAATCAAATGGGATATCTAAGTTAACATCGGGATCACATCTAGCTCTCTCTCTAAGTTGGGCAATAGAATTTGTCATGAAAGTTTTATAGTTTTCCTCAGTGGTAAACTTATTGAAAAGGACAAGGATACAACAACCAAAGATAACAAGTATTGTAGGCCAATCAAACAACTTACTTAAACCCCTAGCATGGTTGTCCGAAAATAGTTCTATTCTTAATTTGTTATCAGTTGGGCATACATATGTGTTTCCTTCAACATTTGTTGGGTAGTAGGTTTTTGACGGATAAAGATCAGGTTTTATACCTATGGCATCTAATGCTGTTATGACAGAGGTGAGGAATTCAGACGAAATCTCATTGATCATACAGCAAACATAAATACATAACTGCTTGTTATAAGTTGAACCGATTGCTTCCCAATATGTCTTCTCATTGCTTTTCATCTTAATAAGCATCAGCATGTTATATACCTTCGTGAAATCACTCGAATTGGTTAGGTTTATAAATTCTCTAGGTACGTGTTCTTCCTTTGGATATCTTGCCTTCATGTTAACTTTAACAACAACAATCGAACCTATGATTGAAAAGAATTGAGAATCTAACCTGACAAAATCGAGAGCAATCGAGAGCAGAGGGAACAAAGGAGGCGTGTTTGTGTAAAACCTATGAACCAGAGGGGAGTGGAGACTGCCGATGAACCAGAGGGGAGTGGAGACTGCCGATGAACCAGAGGGGAGTGGAGACTGCCGATGAACCAGAGGGGAGTGGAGACTGCCGATGAACCAGAGGGGAGTGGAGGCTGCCGATGAACCAGAGGGGGGAGTGGAGGCTGCCGATGAACCAGAGGGGAGTGGAGACTGCCGTAAAACCTAATTTTATTCAAAATTCTTCGGCAGTTAAGAAATCCAAAACGCAAATCAATGATTCAAAAAGTGATTCCTATTCTTTTGTAGTTTAGTTATTTTATAAATAATATAAATTTTTTAATCTGTTTTAAAATATAAAAACATTATATTTAATTTTTATTTCTATTTAAAATAAAAAATGTACATTAATTTCACTCATGCGTTTGTTTCAAAATATTGTTAAGAATAAGGTTCTTATTTATGTGTTTGGTTAAAAAAAAATTTTTTAGAAATATTTGTATATTTTATTTGATTTAAAAATTATAAAAAATAAAAATAAATATTAACGTGAATATTAGTGGAAAGTTATTATTAGTTAAATTCATTTTCATGAGACCCAAAAAAATTCAAAAGGGTCTTATTAAGGAGTGGAGTTAATAGTTCTCAATTGGTCAATCATGTATAATTATTTTACACTACCAAATTCAACATCAATTAACTATTAGTTTACTTTTAAACTCTATTTAAATATATGAGAATTTTTATTTTTTTAATTTATAAATTTAATTAATATTTTTGTTGTATGCAATCAATTTTAATAAATTTGATACAACAACATTCTCATAACTTTTGTGGTCGCCGAAAGCGAAGAGTGATTCGGCTATATTGGAGGAGAAAAAAAATACAAGTACTCTTTCATTTTCAGTTATATTGCGTGGTGTTTCATACAAATTTCCAGGAAATAAACTTTCTTTTAGGAAAACAAATGGAACATCACTAAAAGAAAGGAGTAAGGTCAAACATCAACCCTTAGAGCTAATTATGGAGTAGGGATTTATTTCATTTATCTAATTTATTCAAACTGTTCATCAATGAGTTGCTCGACGGAATTTCTACTTAGATTTATTTTGGTAGTGTTAGCAAATTAGGTATTTTGAATTTTGGCTTAGGGAGCAAGCAAATCTAAAACTATAAATAGAGAGAGTAGTTTCTATTATTGTAACACATAGAACACTTCTTGCAGTTGCATAATTGAATAAGAAATTTACAGTTTGTGAGAAGAGAAAAACTCTGCAGAAAATATTTTTTTTCATATTTTGTTCTAACCCTAATTTTCTTCTTCCTAATTATAATTTCTTTCTTCTCCATTATTAATTGTTGTACATAATCATCTTTCAACCAATGTTGATTGATTCACTCAAGTGAAGAGTGAAGAACAAGGAATTTAAATCAGATTGATTGAATCTTGTTCATCAAGATCGATTCGGAATTCTCCATAGTTTTTGGTGTAATTCTCAATATCTGGTATCTAGAGCTCTGACTGAGAAATTTGAGGCAAACAATAGCGATGATAATCAATCATCCAAACGAGCATTTTCTGGCATGTTTTCTGATTCTAAAGAGTCAGAATTATGAGAATTTGTGCAAGCAGGTGAAAGTGGTTTTCTATTATCAAGATATTTGGGATCTTGTGAAGAAAGGGGACTCACCGCTTGAAAAAGACGCGACAGACGAAGAAAAGGCTGAATACAAAGAATTGAAGAAGAAAGATTATAAAGTTATCTTTATAATACATCAATGTGTTGATCCATACAATTTTGAGAAGCTGAGTGATGTTGAATCATCAAAAGAAACGTGAGAAATTCTAGAGAAATCGTTTGGAGGCGTAGAAAAGGTGAAATAGGTGAGATTACAAACTCACAAAAGAACATATTAATTGCTTCAAATGGAAGAAAGTGAAAGCATAACTGATTTCTTTGCTAGGGTTACAAAATTGGTGAATCAAATCAAAGCATGTGGAGAAGCATTGATGTCGAGATCAGTTGTCGTAAAGATCTTGAGGTCTTTGACTCCAAAGTTCAACAACGTGGTGGTAGTCATAGAAGAGTCGAAAGATTTATCAACATTGACAAGGGAAGAGCTTCAAGGATGCTTAAATATCATTAACAAAGAATGGATGAAAGAGATGCAGACAAGTTGAAGAGTTATGTGGCTTTGCAGGCTCCATACCGTATGTCAGCATCATAATTGAAAAAGTTAAAGAATCAACTTAAAGATCTGCTTGAGAAGAGATTCATTTGTCCACGTGTGTCACTGTGGGATGTACCAGTCTTGTTGTTTAAGAAGAAAGAATGTACTATAATGCTTTGTATGGACTATAGACAACTGAACAAGGTAACTATCAAGAATAAGTATCCTCTTCCAAGGATTCATGATTTGATGGATCAGTTGGTTGGTGCAAGTATGTTCAGTAAGATAGATCTGAGCTCTGGATATCATTAGATTCATGTAAGATCTGAAGATATTTAGAAGACTTCTTTTAGAACAAGGTATGGTCATTATGACTATTTCGTAATGTCGTTTGGTGTGACCAATGTACCGGGTGTATTCTTGGAGTACATGAACAGAATTTTCATCCGTATTTGGACAAGTTTGTGGTTATTTTCATTGATGATATTTTGATCTATTTGAAGATTGAAAAAGATCATGTTGAACATCTGAAGGTTATGTTAACAGTGTTGAAAGACAAGCAGTTATATGCTAAACATTCTAAGTGCGAGTTTAGGTTAAAGGAAGTGAGTTTCCTTCATCATGTAATTTCGAGTGGAGGTATTGCAGTTGATTCGTTGAAGATTGAAGTTGTGTCTCAGTGGGAAGCTCCGAAATTTATCTCTGAGATTAGAATTTTCTTGGGTTGGCAGGTTATTATTGGAAATTCATGGAAGGATTTTCCAAGTTGGCGTTGTTGTTGATGCAATTGACTAGAATGGGTCAAGCTTTTATTTGGGATGCAAAATATGAAGAGGGTTTTCAAGAACTTAAGAGAAGGTTGTCGATCGCTCCTGTTTTGATTTTGCCTAACCCGACAAAACCGTGTTTGTGTATTGCGATGCTTCATTGATGGGATTGAGAGGTATGTTGATGCAAAATCAACAAGTTGTAGCTTATGCTTTAAGGAAACTTAAAGTGCACAAGAAGAATTATTCTATGCATAACTTTGAGTTGGCTGCTATTGTATTTGTATTAAAACTTTGGAGGCATTATTTGTTTGGATCGTGATTTGAAGTGTTTAGTGATCATAAGAGTTTGAAATATCTATTTGATTAGAAAGAGTTGAATACAAGGCAAATGAGATGGTTGGAATTACTGAAGGAATGTGATTTTTGTTTGAATTACCATCCGGGTAAAGCAAACATGGTAGTTGATGCATTGAATAAGAAATATTTTCATATGTCGATGATGATGGTAAGGGAGCTAGAAATGATTGAACAATTTCAAGATATGAGTTTGATTTGTGAACAGACTTCTTCTGGAGTTAAGCTTGGTATGTTGAAGCTTACTAGTGGCATTCTTAATGAGATTCGGGAAGGTCATAAATCTGATTTGAACTTGGTGGATCGGTTGGCCTTGATCAATGATTGTGACTTTAAGAGTCTATCAGGTTTACTGACTGCAAGTGCACAGTCTAATTGCGTAATTTTAAAGCTAATGATTTATCTTGGGTTTAAGGAAAACGGGAAATAAATTAAAACATTAATAGGAATATTCAATAACAAGACATCAGTATGTAACTCATCATACTTTGGGGATTCGATAAAATGTTGGCGTATATAAAAAGATGTCAAAATACTTTTCAGTAGAAAATATTGATTTAAAACTTTATCTCACACTGTCGTGCTATTGACTCTGACTATACTCTTAAACCAGAATGCTTTGCTGTTGCTCACTCATTTGAATTAAAAGTAATTTTTTGGAAATCAATAAGTTCTAATTAATCTTAAAGCGCTCTCACTGTGTTTAGGATTAATTCCTAATTTCTATTATCTAGTTAAAATATCTAAATGTCATTCTATTAACCTTAAACTTTATTAGCTTTTTACTCTCGTAGAAAAACTGTTTTAATTTTAGAATTAGAAACTATAACCAGAAAAATAGTTTATAAAGGTTAACGACAATCATTACCGAATCTCGTTCGGACTATGGTTCTTAAATACCGATATCAAACGGTTTAGATTTACATGGTTTTGAACATAAACATGCTGTTACGATTATCAAACATAAAACAAACATGATTTTAAAAATAAGAATTAATTTATTCCCAATATGTAAGAGTACAGAACAAGAATACATGCACGATATCGAAACAATCATACAATCAACATATGCAATTAAAATAGAACTTGGAAATAATGCAAAAACTGGAATAACTTCATAAATTAACTTCACGTATAATAACTGGAACTGAGGGTTGATTATTTCGGCACACTTGATGTTCAAAGTACATAATGCAGTTTAAAATACTTAAAACTAACGTTGTGATAGTCCCCCGATGTGGAAGAGCTATCATTGTTACAAGTAAATTTTAGCTTAAAAATATAAGAACAATACTCTGTCTAGAAAACGACGAAACTCATCATGTAGAAATACAATTCCGTTTATATTCCTATGTTAGTAACTTAAATGTTCATGACGTGCCTGGAGAAAATTCAGGAAAAGTGGTGTCGTGGAGAAAAAATAGGATGAGTGAGGAAAATGAAGGAGGAGGTGGTGAGCGAGAATCCAGGATGGGTGAGAACATGAAGGTGTATGAAGAGTTCATGGAGGGCGTGTGGAGGGAGTTGTGGGAGCCACTCCTTGTAGTATGGTGGGCATGTGGATAACGTGGTAGGTGCCACATTTTGTTGTTCCCTCTGGGCTTTTTCCTCTGGGCCATTTTCTCTTTTTTTACTTGATTTCCTTTTTTTTAAATTTCTTCTTTTTACTTAAATCTTTTCCGTGACCAATTTTTCTTGAGGTACCTGAAATAGGACAATAAAACCGGCATAACAAGACATACATAAACAAAAACTAGACTAAAATCCATGCGAGTTAAGTCAAATATACGATATAATTTCACATTATCAAACTCCCCCATACTTGAACCTTTGCCTGTCCTCAAGCAACTAACCAATATGGTAATCACACTAAGCACGAGTTTGAAACAAAAACACGACAAAACTCAAATAATATGTGGTTGTGAGTATTTTTTGTGATAGATAGGTACTAAATGTCAATAGCAAGGATATCACAGTGACGCGAAATTACAAAATGCGATAAAAAATTCCCTCCCTATGCAAACCAATCTGAATTATTCTATTATAACTTGACCTATTCTTTTGTTTCATTTTACCCATATTCATTCGAGTGCAATCATATTAAGCCCTTTATCCGTGCACACTC